CACACACACACACACACACACACACACACACACACACACACACACACACACACACACACATAATAACTAATTTATAGATCCACACAAGAATCAGAAAACTGTATCTAAAGCTATTCTAAATCTAAATGTATAATCTAAAGCACATTTAATCTAACCAGCATGCTTCAATCAGAATTATTCAGAAAATTGACAGTCCTGAAAGCCCATTAAGATGGGCATCAGGTAATTTTAAGCACTAATATAAAACTGTACAGGGTAATGAACATTGTATTGTGGGAGAGGCTAAATTAGAGGGTGGACGGACCAGCATCTCAGCCAATCAGTGGCGGTTGGGCGGGGCAGAGAGGAGAGCCCTGAGTGTGAGCAAGGGGATGCTGTGGTAACTCTGATACAATGTCTCAAAGAGCACAAAAACAAACACAATCGATCAGAGAGATCATAGCAGAGGCAAACACAACATAGTCAAAATGAAATAATCATAATAATAATCTAAAAACACAAAGGAAAGATAAGGACAAGGGAAAGAAAACAGTCGGATGCAAAAACGATGTCAGTAAGGGCACACGTCAGCCTGCAAGCAGTGGAGCGCAGCCCAGAAAAGGAAACACAGACAGTCAATCATGAGTCATAACATGACTAATATTCGTCTTCTCGGTAATAAATCTCAGGCCACGTTTCTGCTGTAGTCTGATTGGTAGAAGGCATGTGAATCTTGGAAGATTAACAATTCCAGTGTGTAATTGATGGTCCATGGCACAGAGATGGACAGCATACGATTGTGAAACCATTATAATGAGGTCTGTAATAACAATTCTCGGTTCATACTTCAGCTTCAGTGACATTTAACTCACACGATTGAAAACTTGTCAAAATCAATGGATATAAAATCAGAAATTCGCTCAGCCTGAGTGCTATCGATCAGACACATGAAGCTGACGCGTTATGTCAGATTTCCTTTGCGACTGCCCCTCAAATAAACTTTTCACACACAGAAACATGGCACACATGGACTTAAACAGCTGTATCAAGATGCACAGCAACACCTAAAACTTAAGAGAAGCTGGAGAAATGATTAAGCGACACATGGCAAATCACCAACTGAAATGTAAAAGAAATGCAATGAGTGAGCAGAAATGTCATCTTGCTTTTGACAGGACCAATAACCAGTCCTTTGCGATCTCTTCTCCTCTCTTCTAAGGAAAAAAATTATAATTTTCTGCTTTTAAGCACAAACCTTGCTAAAGGCTTGTTCTCACCAAGGATGATAACTATAAAGATAACGATATAGTTCTAAAAACCATTCTCCACACCACAGCTATAATGATAAAGGCACAGAGAAACGATATCGTTGGAATCACTTTCATAACTATTTTTTTTCCCAGCTGATGAACGATAAAAACATTGACACCCAATCAGAATCAAACCTGCTATAACGAGCTTGAGAATTTAAAGCGGCAGACGAGTGTGCACTTAGAATAAACAGACGATATCGTCCGCTGGTGTGGACGCTAATACAGTTATCTATATTATCGTTCTTGGAGTGAACAGACCTTAATTTTGTTTGCTCATTTATCTGTAAAACAAGAAAAAAAACTATTGGCATGGGGTAAGAAGAACTCAAGATATAGTTTCTGAAAACAATCATATTTGATGTTTCCCATTTTAAAGATGTTGAGATATTTTTTTTTGGTGGAAAACAAGACAAAAAGGAGTGTATGACATTTTTCTAATTCATTCATGCCAATTTGTGTCCTTCTGGAAGGGGGGAGAGATGTTATGAAAGGTCTGGCCAATGAATCTCTTTCTCAGAGCTGGTTAGAGGTCAGCATATGAGATGAATGAGTGCTGTGAGGCATACCCGGCCCTCTCCTTGAGTTTCATATCAGTTATGCCATCTTTAGACACCAGTTTGTTAAAAACCAGAATCCCGATAACCATGTTAACCTGGTGAAAAGAGAAGAGAAAGGTTAACACGTGCATATTAAGATCCAGCCCAGTCTCAGAATAGAAACATGGTCCTATAGTCTCCAATGTGCCATTTTAGGATGTTCCTGTAAAGCCTCATTTATCTTGTGGTTTTGTTGTATTTAACAGTACTGTCATTAAAATATCTGAATATGGTTGTTCAAGCTACTTCTGCACTAGGATTGTGATAATTGTGATAGGACTTTGAAATACCAATTTTTGACACTACAGCAAATACTAATATGGTACTAAATACACACCTTAAATTTTAAATTGTATTATTAAAACACAATTTTAACGATGTACAGAATATTCGAAACAATTAAAAAAACGCTACTGAGAAATGTTTTGGTTGAACAGAGAAAAACTGCAGTAGAATAACTTTTCTAATGAGACTGTATAGAAAATTCACCATTATATTGTCTGACAAAATGAAATCTGTTACTGAATAAAATAGATACCGCTGTAATCCATGTTAATATAGTCTAAGCCCAGATCTCACTTAAAGGGGTCATATGATGCGATTTCAATTTTTCCTTTCTCTTTGGAGTGTTACAAGCTCTTGGTGCATAAAGAAGATCTGTAAAGTTGCAAAGACTAAAGTCTCAAATCCAAAGAGATATTCTTTATAAAAGTTAAGACTTGTCCACGCCCTCCTAAAACGCCTCGTTTAAAGGGGTCATATGATGTTGCTAAAAGGAACATTATTTGGTGTATTTGGTGTAATGAAATGTGTTTATGCGGTTTAAGGTAAAAAAACCACATTATTTTCCACGTCGTCACATGTGGTTGCCGCAAGCCTGCCGGCCGCTCCTTCGGCGAATCTGCCGGCCGTGCCGTTCTCAAGTCCGCCGGCCGTTCCTAACTCTAGCCCGCCGGCCGTTCCTCACTCAAGCCCGCAGTGTGTAACGCATTTTATGGAGGACTGTTTCCTGAACCTGCAGAGTAGCCTACAATGGGT